ATCCGTGAAACTTTAGTAATACTAAATAGCACAATTTCATGCAAATTCCATTGTTTTCTATTGTTTAACTAGCACTATTCTATTGTGTACTATTTAGATAAGTGTTTCACGGATTTACTGTGGTCACTCTATTCTTTTCACATGTGAAAATATCAGTTTTTAAATAAGGAGAAATATAGGTATTTTATGGATAATCATATGATAATAATAATTATTATTATTTTATTCCAACCTCAGGATAATTAGATGGATTTCAAAAGTCATAGTTTTCGCTCGCTTTGGGGTTGCTATCCAGAATCGACAAAAAAAAAACAAAAAAAAAAACAACAACAAACAAACGGAGGACAGAAAAAGACCTTTGCTGGCAGACGGTAAGTCGTGTATGACTTTCAAAAAAGAATCGTAAGCCACACTGATCWTCCGAATTAGTTCGGCAGCATTGGACAAAACTCGGAATGTGTTCGTAGATGACGACCAAGATTATTTTTCCGTGAAAATGCCTTATGACAATACGAACATTCATATGGCTTTTCACCGGTATGTGTTCGTAGATGACAGCCGAGATCACCTTTCTTTGAAAATGCCTTGTCACAATACGAACATTTATATGGCTTTTCGCCAGTATGTGTTCGTAGATGACCAATAAGAACAAATTTCTGAACAAATGCCTTGTCGCAATACGAACATTCATATGGCTTTTCACCGGTATGTGTTCGTAGGTGAATTTCAAGCTTATTTTTCTCTATAAATGCCTTATCACAATACGAACATTCAAATGGCTTTTCACCGGTATGTGTTTGTAGATGACGAATAAGCACACCTTTCTCTATAAATGCCTTATCACAATACGAACACTGATATGGCTTTTCACCAGTATGTGTTCGTACATGGATTTTAAGAACGCTTTTCTGTGTAAACCACATGTGACAATACGAACATTCAAATGGCTTTTCACGGGTATATGTTTTTAGATGACAACGATTTTGAAGAAGCKCCTTCCTTCCTGTCATCTTACTAATTATGGTACTCAATGACTCATTCATCTCAAAGTCTTCACTAACTTCATCAAGGTTATCGTCAACATCAGTGTTATTGAATGTGTTCTGCTCATTGACATCATTTGCATCACCATTGGTTACTTCTTCTTTTATTTCATGGCTTTCCCTCTCTCTAGTTTCCATTTCTCTTTGCTGAGGTTGTGTATTTTGTACAACATCCTTCCTTCCTTTCAGCTTAGTAATTATGGTACTCAATGACTCATTCATCTCAGAGTCTTCACTAACTTCAGCAAGGTTATCGTCAACATCAGTGTTATTCAGTGTGTCCTGCTCATTGACATCAATCGTAACATCATCGCTTGCTTCTTTTATTTCATGACTTTTACTTTCTCTATTTTCCCTATCTCTTTCATTGTCAACATACATTGAAGTACAGTGAGTGACACAGCCGTAGTCTTCAGTCTGTGTAGCCACACTACACAGTTCATTTGATTTTGGCGTTACATAACTGGTCTGTACTCTCAGCATGGTGTTCTATATTAGCAAGGAAAAAAAAATTAGCACCATCCCTGTTGTATACCACTATCTAAAAGATTAGGAAATATTCTTTGCATGTAATGGTGGACTAAGTCCCTAGGAGGACAGTAAATGAAAAAAGGTAAAGCACCTATATTAACGTCGGTAGTTCCTTCAGTTGAAATTCAACTGCTAGCAATGGAAGCTGACGGTGCGCACTTTACCCCCTCTCACCATTTTGTTTTAAGAGTATTTAAAGCTGAAGCTACACGGATTAGAGAGACGTTGAAACAGATGTGGAGATCCTAAGGATCGAACCATGGACCTCAAGCTCTGAAGGTCGCGCACTAACCAACTGAGCTACGCCTGCCTATATCTTACAAGGTCAGGATAAGTTTACCAGGTTACAAATGGGTTACTTAAAACTTTATTTAACAATTATTCGCCGAAGGCAAAGTGAATATGGGGGAATATTTACCAACACGCGAGCAGCTTCTTCTTTACTTTTTAAGGGGAAGCACTGGTGACAGCGCTGCTAATGCGCCGCCTCTCACCAATGTGGCCAGAGTTCAAGTCCTGCCGATCACGATGTCGTATGTCAGTAGAGTTGTTTGTTGGTTCTCTCCTGTGCTTCAAGGGTTTTCCTCTGGGTCCTCCGGTTTTCCTCCCTCCTCAAAAATCAACTTCTAAATTCTAATTTGATCTCTGGGCTTTCACTTAAATTGGAGCCTAGCTCTGTTGTGATTGTCCCATGCTGTGATACGACAGTGAAAAGCTTTGTAGATTTTTAATAAATTGGAAATTTCCCTGACCAAAATAAAAATTCCCTGACAATTCCCTGACCTTGAAAAATATTCAGAATTCAATGACTTTTCCCTGACCATGGGAACCCTGATAAAATAAGAATACAAAGAAATGGCAGAATAATTAATCTGATTAATTTATCAAGAACAAACTAACCTCAGAGACAGAAGGATCTGCATGCCAACTGGGTTCTACAGTGACAATGTTGTTATAAAACAAAAAGTCCATTTCATCTGAGTCCCTTTTTTCTGTCTTTATATGGACATTTGACCCCATTTTACTAAAATAAATATTAAATTCCATTATTAGCAAGGATGTATTATGGAGTGAGATGTCAGACTGCAGAGCAAGGAAGGCAGATTGTGGCTGTGCAATTTCCTGGGGTAGGCCTCTGTGTGTGTGTGTG